CCGCCACACCAGCACCTGAAGGGCAGGGGAGGGTCCCTGCTGCCCCCCCCCCGCCCGCCTGCCCGCCCAGGGCGCCTACCTCGTCCTCGTTCTCCACCTTGGGGTTGCTGGCGGTGCGCTTCAGGTTGCTGCCCAGGCTGATGCTGACGGTGGCGTCCGACTTGGAGCGCTGGTGCGTCCGCTTGGTGGGGGAGAGCCCGGCCTCTGCGGCCGGCACCAGCGGGGGCAGCTCCCTCTTCCGGGCGGCCGGCTTGAGCTCGTCGGAGAGGATGAGCTTCCGGAGCTTGGTGCCGCGCGAGTGGCGCTGGGTGGAGATGTGCATGTCGGAGGAGTAGGCGCCCAGCAGCAGGGCGCACTGCAGGGAGAAGTTGATGCTCTGCCGGCAGCGGTGCACGATGTAGGGCTTGATGGCGTCGCCCACGTCCTCGTCCATGTGGATGTACATGTTGAGCAGCTGCGGCAGGTAGAAGCCCACCTCCTCGTGGCGGAAGCAGAAGAGCCGGTTCCCGATGTAGGCCTGCACGCCGGGCTCCTTGGAGTTGTACAGGTACGAGATGGCCATGGAGATGTCGAAGAGCTTGGACTCGAAGAGCCGCAGCAGCCACGACTGCTTGGCCGAGTTGTTCTTCTGGCGCCGCCGGACGCCCTTCACGGAGTTGGGCGGGTGCTCGTCCTCCTCCCAGATCTTCCCGGGGGGGTCGTCCAGGCACTTGATCTCGCAGCACTCGCCGCCGTTCAGCCCCGGCCAGCGGCTCCTGTCCTTGGCCCGGATGGAGCCGTCCGGCGAGACGCAGTGCATCAGCTTGACCTTCTCCAGCACTTCCTCGCAGGCCTTCTTGGCCACCTCCGGGTCGATGACGGCCAGCTCGCCCAGCCCCTCCGTGATGACCCCCAGGGCCGGCCGGGTCTCCGCTGGCGTCTCCTCTGGCGGAGGGGGCTCGGCGGCCGAGTGACTCATGGTGTCCACGCTGGGCCTGGCCGCTTTCACCGCTGGAAAAGAGAGGGGGGGGCTCATTTCTGAAGGGCTCCAGGCAAAGGCCAAAGGCCCCCTTCGCCAGCCGGACTCCGGAGGGACCGCTGGGTTTCCCGGTTCCTCCGGACAAGGTCAGCAGCCGCTGCCTTCAGGGACTGGCCTTGTAACTGCTTACAGATAGAGTGCCCCCTGAGAGAGAGGTTCCACTCCCCCCTAAGTAAATGTTTTGTGTACCTCCAGTCTTTTTTTGTTTGTGTTGTTTTTAAACTCGCAAGCCTTGTGGCTGGGCTGTCCGGGAGCTCCTCTCGATGCAGGGAAGGCCTTCACCGCCCCCCCACCCCCCCCAGACATCTGGCTCCCATTACGGGGCCTGCCTTTTCCCCGTGCTCAGCACTTGGCAGAGTTCGCCCACGCCCTTCGCCCCCCCAAAAAAGACCAAACGTGCAGCAGCCATCATCAAGTCGCGCCCATCGGGCGCAACGCATTCCCTGCTCCGTGTCAAACCTGGTTTGGGGAATGGGGGGGGGGATGACGAGGACCAGGGCTGTAGCCCAGATCGACAGTGCAGCTGGGGGCACACAACAAAACACACTTTCTCTTTGAAGAACAAACCAGGGGCCTCTCTTTGCGTTCACTCTGGGGTGCTCAAGAGGGACCAGAAACTTGCTCAGCCCTACAACCGCCTCCTCCTCCTCCTCAGGCTGCCTCCTCCTTCTGCCCTCTCACATCCCGCCCCCTGTGGATCTCCCCCCAACTTTAAACTCAATTCCCTATTTTTAAGGAGGACCCTTTTCTGAAAGGTGGGTGGGGAGGGGGGGGCAGAAGCCTTAGGAACTGGCCACATCCGAGGGAGGCGGTAAAGCCGCCACTTGCCTGTTTCATTTCTATCTTCTGGGACGCGCCTCCAGGGCCCCGGTCCAGTCGGCCATCTTCAGAGGAGGACTCCCCCCCTCCAAGGGATTCGGCACGATGCCTCTTCACAGCTGCTGGGGGGGGGGGGGGGGGGAAGGGGGGGGGGCCCCGGGGGAAAACCGGGGGGGGGGGGGTCCCTCAGCTGCTTGGAACTCAGCCTCGACCCAGCCACCGCCCCCTCCCTCCCCCCCCCCCTAGACTTTTGGCAGAGCCCTGTAACCGGAGATCCCTCTTGAAAAGCAAAAACCCTGGAAGGACATGTGGCGCACACAGCTTGCAAAGGGACCCCCCCCCCGCCTCTCTGCCAAAGAGCGGAAGGAGAGAGCGGTTCGCTTCTCTTTGGCAAAGCAGCCCGTCCGGCTTTCCGAGTCAAATCCAAGCTGGCGCGCATTCGCACAACCTGATTCCACGCTAAACCCGGCGGGAGGTTCGCAGGGGCAGGCAGCAGACGCCGTGGAGGTGACGCAAGCTCTCTGCGTGGGGGATCCCTTTCGGATCCAGCCGCCCACTCGCTCGCTCGCTCACCTGGCCAACTGGCTCCCCGCACCTGTCTGGCTGGGCCGCATCAGGGAGGCTGTCATCCACCCCCGAGAAGCCAATTTGCGTCTTCATAAAAGCCAGGATCCTAATTAAGGCCGCTTGAAACACCCGCCCCAAACTTGCTTTACAGCAAAACTCAGATGCCGAACCTCAGAGGACGTCCCGGCGCTAATGCAGAACGTTGGCAGAATCGAGGAGGGGGAGGGGGAGTGCAAAGCAGCCCCTCAAAATAGGGGGCTGGCATCCAGGCCCCAGAGTTGCTCAACCTTGCCAACCGGACTTCAACTCCCAGAATTCCCCAGCTTTGCCCCAATCTCCCCCACCCACCCACCCTGCAGGGACCGGCCCTCCAAGACCCCAGGAGGAGCCTCCACCCCCACCTCCCGAACTGGAGGACCAGGCTCCCCAGCGGGGGGACTCCAGAGCCCATCGCTTTGCAGGCTGGGGGATTCTGGGAGTTGAAGTCCACCGGTCTGAAGGGCTCCAGGCCCGGGGTCTCCAACCGGGGCCACTTTAAGCCTGGCCGACTTCAACTCCCAGACTTCTGGGCTGGAGACTCCCTGCGTCCAGGCGGCTCTGGGCAAGGATCCTGCGCATCGCTCCGGGGGAACCCAGGAAGTGGCTGATGGGCTTGCGGGTGGCCGGGCAGGGCAGCCTCCGCCTCTTGCAAGGGGAGGAAGCGGCGCCTCTTCCGGCCGGCAGCGCTTGTGCAACCGCGGACCCCGCAAAAGCGGCGGCCTGTGCAACCTCCCCCCGCCGCCCCCGCCTGCAACCCTGGGGTCCCGGGGGGAGGGTCCCGTGGGGGGAGCACCCAAAGGGAGGGGAGGGGGAGGCCCGGGGGGGGCGTCGGAGGGGCTGCGGGGGGGGGGGGGGGAGGGGGGAGGGTTTGTAGAAAGGGGGGGGGGCGTCCAGGGAGGGGTCTCCGCCCCAGCTGCCCCCCACCCACTTTGCAGGGACCGGAGGGGCCGCAGAGAAGGCCAGGAGGGGCCCAAAGACCCCAGCAGGGAAAGGCAGGCGCTCTCCAGCGGGCCGGACTACACGCCCCATCATCCCCTGCCCCAAGCACACGCCCCCGCTCTGTTTCCGCGCCTCCGCCCCCACCAAGGCTCCAGAGGGGGGGGGGGCGACGCCACCCCTCCCCCCCGCCCCTCCGCCCCGGAGGCCCAGGCGCCCCGGCGGGCGGACTCCAGAGCCCATCGCCCCCCGCCGCACTCACCGGCCGCCGCCGCCGCCGCCTCCTCTGCCGGGCCCAGCCGGGGCTGCCCGCGCGGCGCCTGAGGGTCCTTCGCGGGGAAAGGGCGGGGCCAAGGGGGCGGTGGGGGCCGAGAGAGAGGAGGGTCGCCGCTTCCTTCGGGGGGTCCCGTCGCTCCCCCCCCCGCGGAGTCCTGCGAGGCCCCGCGCGACGAGGTGGCGGAGGGGTGTCCGCGGCGGTGCCTTAGCGGAAGGGCTAGCGGTGCGCATGCGTGGAGGCGCCTCACCCCCCCTCCCGGGAGCGGAGGAGCGGCGCTTGTGCGCATGCTCTGGGCTGGGGAGCCGCGCGCGTGCCTGTCTCTCCGCTCGCGTGGAAGGGCGCCCGTCGCTCCCGGGAATTAACTCCCCCCCCCACGAAACAGAGTGGAAAGGGGCCGCCCGCATCTGGAGCATCCTCCGCCTTGGGCCTGGGGGGCGCCGGGGCGGGGGGGCTGCTTGCTCCAGAGGGCTGGGATAGAGCGCGCCTGGCTGGGGCAGCTCCATTCTCCCTGCGAAGGCAGAATAAACCCAGCCGCGCTTTTCCTCCCCGCAGGCGAAATGAAGGCAAGAAGCCCCTTGGGTTAAAATCAAATAATCTTTAATAAAAAATAAATTAGATTTGGACAGGGGGAAAAAAAGGAAGGGGACAAACAGGTGGACAAAACTAGCCGGCATACATTCAGCTTTATCATAGATATTTCTCTCCATATAAAATATATTTTATATATAAAATCTGAACACTCTGTAGGGACCGTTGCTATGATCTTACTACTTAGGTCAAAGGTCTTCCAACTTGGCAAGTTTAAGACTTGTGGACTTCAACTCCCAGAATTCCTGAGCTAACATGACTGGAGGAGGAGGAGGAGGAATTCTGGGAGTTGAAGTCCACAAAGTCTTAAAGTTGCCAAGTTGGAAGACCCCCGATTTGGGTTTTAAAAGCCACAAAGGGGAGGGGGGACCACTTTATAGTTTATAGGTCCAAGAAGGTACACAAAATCCCCTCCCTCTTTAGCTTCTCATTTTCTGGGTGGGGATAACCAGATTTTCCGTCCAGCTGCTGCATCTTTTATGTTGCAGCGCATCAGACTTAAAAGGAGGTTTTAACTGCTGGATTTCAATTTAGAACAATGTATTAATATAGAACAATATTAACCAGTGGAGCAACTGGCTTCCAGAAAGTTGTGAATGCTCCAATGCTGGAAGTTTTTAAGAAGAGATTGGGCAACCGTTGGCCTAAAATGGTGCGGAGCTTCCTGCCTGAGCAGGGGTTGGACTAGAAGACCTCCAGGGTCCCTTCCAACTCTTGTCATTCTATTCTAATTCTAAATTTAAGGACTTGCCGGATTTAGCAGCGCTGCAGGAAAAGGGCGGTTTCCGTTCTAAAAAGACACAGAAAAGTGATGACGCAAACGTAACACAACGCATCCTCTTTGTAACTTTTCCTTTGATAAATACTGTCATTTGTCTATGTCCTTTTTGGTTTGTGTGTGTGGGGGGGTGTCTCCAACCTTGGACTTGTGGACTTCAACTCCCAGAATTCCCCAGCCAGCTGAAGTCCACAAGCCTTAAAGCGGCCAAGGTTGGAGACCCCTGGTTTAGAAAACCAAACAAGGCACAGCACTTCCCCCCCCCCCAGGCCGCATGAAAAAGGCACATCTGAAACCTTTCACCCCCCCCCCCCCCCCCCCCCCCCCGTCTTTTTCGCCCTTTTACGCTCTTGTGGGAAGGGGAGGCTGCGGCGAATCTCCGGCTGAGAGTTTCTGCATCTGGAGCTGCAGATGTTTCATCCCAGAGGTTAAAGTTTGCAAATTCAGGAAACGGTTCCCAGGACGGACCCTCGATTGGATCCCTTCTCGGTGTGTTTTCTTGTTCTTATTTTTCCTGAATCTTTGTTAAAAAGAACTTTGGTGTGTCCAGGAGGTAAAACCAGCAGCCAGAATATAATAGACGTCCGGTGTTGGCCTCACGGGGTGCCCCCGGAGGTGAGGGCCCATGCCGCAGGCGGAAGGGTTGGAGAAGGGTTGCAAGCCCTCCAGATCCTCTGACCCCCCATGTGCCACAGCGGGGGGGGGGGGGAGTTCCGAGGTCCATGAGCCAATCGTTGCCCTGCACTCTTCCCTGCCGCTGGAGAGAAACCAGTGCAAAGCTTGGCTCCTTCTGTGGGGCTGTGGTTATGCCCCCCCCAAAGACTCCCTTATGGGAGACAGGTGCTAGTGGGCCAGGCGTGGTGCGGGGTTCGAGTCCTGGGGCGAAGCAACACTTTCCCAGGCTTGGGCTTCCTTCCCAGCCCCTCCGTCCTCTCCCCCGTCCGGGCGAGCAAGGGGGCAGGAGGCAGACCCCTCAGCCTCATCCACGTGTGGCCTCCAGCGCGTGTGAGCAGGAAACGCAACAGGCGGCTTTGTAGTAGGAATACACACACAGCCGGGCTTGCACGATCACCGCACAGTTGGGGTACTTGTCCCGGCAGCTCCCATCTGCCGGAGGGAAAAGGCAGAAAAAGAGGTGGGGGAGAGTCTCGGGGTTGCCCCCTCCCCAGAGGGGACAGGAGAGCAATCCAAACACGGATCCTTGGGAGGAAAATAAATGGGGAAGGCCGCTTTCCCCAGTGTCCAACTGGCTATAAAGAGCAGAGACGGGGCCCGCTTGCTCTGCCTCCTTCTGACCCCACTTTCCTTGGGGAGGGGGCATGGGGGGGGCGGGGCGGGGGGCGTTGGGCACTGGGGAAGGCAGGGCGGGCTGTTGCGCGGGCGCTTGGGGGCCGGCTTGGGGTGGGGGAGGCAGAGCGTGCTCAAGGTCTTATTCTGCGTCAGACACTGGACTTCTCTCGCCTGGATGCCCCCCATGCAGGACCTGGAGCACTGCGGGGGCAAAAGGAAACATTGGGGGGGGGTTAAAGTGCCCCTCTCCCCAGTTCTGCACCCTGCGTTGATTATTGGGGTGGTACTAACACGAATCGGCGCTTGGGGTGCTGTGGGGCTTTTCCAGAGCTGGGGAAACCTGTCTGGGCAGAGGGGGGTTAAGGAGCTTGGCATGCAAGAGGCTTCGTTCCCCCTCCCCCAAAAAGAGCCTGCCCCCCTCCCCCCTCACTGTGCTCCAGGCGGTGGAAAACCAGCGGGCCTCGCAGTCCGTCCCGGTGCAGGGCTGGAGAGAAGGGGGCTTCTCCAGGTGGGCGCACTCGGAGGCCTCCGTCACACTGAACCGCGTCCCCTGCTTGCCGACACAGACGATGTCGCGCCTCTGCGTCCCTGGGCCACACTCAGCTGAGCACTGGGGGAAGAGGGCAGGGGTCACGGGGGTCCCTGGGGCGGCAAAAAGCCTTCAAAAGTTCCACCATTCACAATAGAGCTGGGAGGGGCCTTGGAGGTCTTCTAGTCCGGCCCCCCTGGCTAAAGCAAGAGACCCTATCCCATTTCAGACAAGGGGCTGTCCAGTCTCTTCTTAAAATCTTCCAGTGTTGGAGCACCCACAACTTCTAGTTGGCAGCTGTTCCACTGGCTAATGGTCCTCACCGGAAGGAAATTCGTCCTTAATTCCGGGTTGCTTCGCTCCTTGGTTAGTTTCTTGCCTCGCCTTCTGGGGCTTTGGAGAGCAGGCTGAACCCCAGCCCCCTTCTTTGGGGCAGCCGCTCCCATGTCCCCCAGCCAAAGGCAAGCCAGTTCCCGCCGTGGTGAGTGCAGTTTGGGGACCAAGGGAGGCTGGGCGGAGGGTGGGGCCCAGGAAAGCTCAGCCAGCCCTTACCGAGCTCCAGGGACCCTTGTACCACCGAGTCACCCGCTGGCACGGCCCTCCGTCACAAGCCCTCATCTCGGCTGGCTTGGGAGTGGCGCAGTCTTCATCCGCCTGTCCGTCCGCGTTGCCGGAGAGGCAGACAACCGAACGGCGCTGAATGCCGGTGCCGCAGTCCGCCGAGCACTGAAAGAGAACCAACCGCAGGGATTTCAGGCCTCGCTTCCCGTTGGCGATTTCCCAAATTTTCCGGCAGCCGCAGGAACCGAGTAGAGGGAAAGAGGAAGAAGCGGAGGAAGGACGTGGATGCTCTCAGCAGCTTCGGGGCGGTGGGGGGGGGTTCTGAGGATCGGGGACAAAAGAGGGGTCTGCCTTACTGTGTTGCTCCAGTCACTGTAAAACCAGCTCCGCACACAAGGGCCCATGTTGCAAGGCTCGGTGCTCTGCGGCCGGTGGATGTCCGGGCAGTCGGTGTCCCTCAAGAGCTCTCCATGGTTACTGACACAACGCACGTGGCGGGTACGGTGGCCTGTGCCACAAAGGACCGAGCACTGGAACCGGGGAGGGGGAGGGGGAGGAAAGGAGCAGGGAGGCCAAAAGCCACGGCATTAGAAGGTGCAACCCCCAAATTCTGAAAAAAGTTCGCGCCTTTTTAGCAGCCAAAAGCAGAGCCCGCCACTCCTTTTAATGGCCTGTTTCCACCGGGGCAGGACCTTCTCCTTGCCCTGGAGGAGTTTCCCCCAGGTAGAAGTGGGGTGGGGCCCCCACTCAGGTGCCCAGGGCTGGCCGAGGCCCCCCCCGTCCCCCTCCCCGCTCCTCACCGAGCTCCAGTTGGACTGGACCTGCCAGTGGCTGCAGAAGAGCACTTGGCAGTCCTGGGTGGCGGCCGGCTTCTGCAGGTGGCTGCAGCGCTGGGGGTGCACCATGGTGGTGCGGTTGGCGTAGATCTGCCGGCAAAGGACCTGGCGGTGCTGCGTTCCTGGCCCGCAGGATCTGCTGCAGGCCGACCACCCGCCCGCGTCCCAGCTGAGGAGGAGGAGGAGAGGGAGAGGGAGAGAGGAGCAAAGGGGGGGGGGGGGGGCTTGCAAGATGCCCCCATCCTGAAAGTGGCTTCTATTTAATCCCGTGGCTCCCTCGGGCCCTCTGGCCCCCGGCACGTAAAGCAGCAGGGAAAAGGATTCCGGACACAGCGCTTCCCGCCCGCCGGGAGCAGATTCCGCGGCTCCCCAATCCCAGCCGGGCTGTAACCCGCCTGGTGCAAAAGGGAAAAGTGTCCGCAGGGACGTGAAACCGTTTCCGGTCCCCAGAGGCTGATCCGCTGACCGGGTGGCTGCCAAGTGAGACCCGGCCGTTGTGCCCCAAAGACCCCGACTCAGAGTGTCCCCAATCCAAAGCGCCTTGCAGGTCTCTGGGCCGAGATCCCCCTGCCCGTCTGGAGGGCGAGGAAGAGGCCCCCGGGCACCCCCAACCTCTCCCACTGGGCGGGGGGG